GTAAGTGAATGCACCTTTGCTACTGACGGGAAATCTATGGTTCATGAATGACAGGGTACCTACTCTTTTCGGTGTAACCACTCGTAAATATCTTCCTGATACTTTTGCTCACCAGAAGATAAGTCATAGAGGACCTGAACCATGGCCACCTGGATCTCCAGACTTGAACCATGTGGATAATTTCTTTTGAGGATATCCCAAATCGCTTGCATATGCATCACTAGTTGTTGATGAAAATTTTTTGAGAAATATAATGCATATTTCTAATGTTATACTCAATACCCCAGGAATTTTTGAACGTGTACGGAACTGGATGAGAAGAAGACTTGATGTTCGAAATGCAAGTCAAGGTTTTCATTTTGAGCATCTGATTTAATTATTTTTCATTATTACCACTGCTGCTCGCCGACTAAAACATAAATCAACTAGCAGTACATCTTCCATCTAGTATCCAAACAGATTTTCATTTCAAAGTCTATTCAAGGAGGCGACGAATATCAAAATACATTTATGATCTTACATGATGCGTAATCCCCATTTCTAAGCCACTGACTCTGATTCAATAATAATGTATAGCTATTTCAAATGAAATCAAACTCAGCGAAAACAATGGCCTACAATGATTTTTACAATAAATATCAATCGAGTAACCCTCCATGACGCCATTGGGATCAAAATTCCAAGTCTGATTTCATGAAAAGAAGCCCCTCGTTCCTCATAACAAACACATGAAGCTTAGTGGAAATGAATCAAGTTGGGGCACACGTTCATATGAACTGTTTTTTTCATAAAATGTGACAAATAATCTCCACCTCAAATTATTGACATCATATTAGATACACCCTATATACAGTGCGGACGTACAAAATCTCTACCTCTCCTAAATTATGATAGGACATAATTTTCGACACATACATTTTTTATTTTTGAAAATGAAACCTGCCAATTCAGAATAATTACCAGTTTCATATTTTGCATGTAAATCTGTGAACAAAACTCTCACCTCAGATGAAATAAAATCATGTATAAACGAAGTACCTGACAAAATACATCTTGCGACAAAGGTAAGATATTGATATTTCTCAAAAGTCACTAGTTAATAAAATAAGAGTACTAAGAAACTCAAATAGATTCATGTCAGCCTCCTAGGTTGAAAAGACACGGCTAGAATCTTCTTTCAACCGCTCAATTTGTAAACCAGTCGAAGTTGAAGGGAACGACAATGTGTTTAGGTTGCATTGCAACTCAACTGCACATCGTAAAAATAGGGGTCTTGAAAGATCTTAGATTGTCTATATCAGTTATTATATCGAACACCATAACTCAATATATTAAGATTCGACCGAATAATGTACTGAAAGATTTATTTTTTCTGTGAATTATTGGAAAGGTAAATGGACCAATCAAAGAACTGCAACCAATACATTCGGAGCTATGGATAAACAGATCGCAACATTTTCAAAACTAGATCTAGAAATTTATACTGGACATACGTTTCGAAGATCATCTGTCACCCTGCTAGTGGATGCAGGTGGAGACATAACTGCTTCAAAGAGGCATGGAGGGTGAAAGTCCAACATCTGTGGCGGAAGGATATATAAATTATTCAATGAAAAATGAAAACGTTGCTTCCGAAACAATCCTAAATTCGATCAAACAACCGTCTATCAGTAAGAGTAATGGAAATATGGATCTAGAACCCTCGATACCTTCTATTATGATATCCAACTATTCAGAATTGTTTCAAATATGATTATAGATATTTTCAGTCAATGAAAACTTATTGTTATGAAATTTATTGATATTACTATCATATACCTACTAGGGATCGCAACTTAAACGGTAAGCCCTCGTTGATCCTTAGCTCTCACAAGTTTTGACTTCTGAAGGATCGACAACAGAAAACACATTTGAAATATTCCAGCAAAAAGTGAAAAACGTTGAATATTAACTTTGAACCCACAACTCAGCTAGCAAAACAACCCAGAATACAAGAAGCAATTTGAATCTTGCATTCGATTATTCTTTTTCATAACCATACCGAATATTTCAATAATAGGATTACCAAGGAATGAAACTTTATTCCACCCCTCAAATTATAGAGTACTTCAAAAGTCATTTAGAAGAGCCATCTCGCAGTGGTAACCGCAATTCACAATCAGTTTCAGTGTACGTCTCGCCATCTGTGAGTGAATATCAATACCATTCCTCTACAGAATTCTATTTTGTTAGTGTAATAATTGAAGTATGGTCAGTAGTAGCCATTTACAATTTAAAACATCACTTTTATTCTTATACATGTTAGTCATAGAGTTTTGGAATCAATCACTAAATATTTTCTGTCCAATTAGGATACTTATTTGCTATATTGTAATAGTATATTTATTTATGAACTGTGAAAATTAAAAATAAAACGAAAATTGTGGGTTATTAATTGGGTCGCACATTTTTTTTAAACGAATAATTTTATGTTTGAAAATCATTTCTAAATCCTCTACCGAATTTCCAATAGATTGCCTATCGATATGTTTCGAAAATATAGATAATTACATTCAGTAACTTCGATCTATAATAGATAATTGCAAACTAGAAAAATTATCGTAAGTATTGCTTTCACTGCATCTTTGAAACGTATTCCAAGTAATGTTACGTTACGGTATTGTTAAGTTACGAGGATGATACCTTAGTCAAATACCTTAGAAGTTGTCTTGAGTACCTGTGATATGTGGTTCCTATTGCAATGCTTTTGAATGAACGAATGGCATTCAACGCCTTCATGGATGTTTTCTGCAATAGGCAGCAATAATGAAGTTGGATCGATATCAGTTGAATTGCACACGAATTTCTTCCTACCCCTGTCGATAAAAAAAGTGTCCATCTGATATCCCTCAATTAATTATACATTTTCAAGGTAATTACGATCACGAAGCTGAAGCAGAAGTAGGGATACACTCTAAACGAAAGCATCTGGATAAGGTCAACTGAATTCAAAATATCAATGTTCTCACAAACACACTCCAGAAGAATGTGTTATGGGGTTTTCACAACCCCATTTATATTTTCTGTGGAAGTAGATCTTTTTCAAAGCTCTGACCTTCTTTCCCATGCAACAGCCACTAGAAAAATATCCTTACACTGGACACTCTGTTTTTTGCAGTTAAGTAGTAGAAACGTAGATTCCAGTAGATGGTAGTGAAGGTAGTTTCTTGTAGGTAGTGAAAACGTTGATTTCACTAGAAGTAAATTAACTGAAAGAACAATTTGTTCAGGCAATACAACTGCTGGAATCACTTTTCTATTATAGGAACTGGCAGCACACTTGCAGATCGGTTTCAGGCTATTTGGCCTCTCATCAGTGGAAAGTAGTAGCCATCATAAACCAAAAGAGGATGATATTCCATAATTCCTTTCAAAGTATCATTCCTCTAACCAAACTGAAGCGAACAACAAACAACAAATTTGTCATCGCTCCATCTGGTAAACGAGGTACTAACCAACCACATATTTAAAATTCATCAAATGAGGCATACTTGAAGACTGGCTACCTACAGTGTAGGTGAGCCGAGACAGGCCTGAACAATTTTTTTATTTTAGTCAATTTGATTTACACGGTCTTCAAGTATGCCCTCTGTATATATGGGAAAGTCCATTATGAGAATATCCTCCCACAGAACACTAAGTTTTTTTCAGGTAGTGAAAACGTGGATCACACTAGAAGAATATCCTCTTTCAGGACACTCCGTTTTTTGCTGGTAGTGAAAACCTGTATTTCACTAGAAGAATATCCTTTTACAGGACACTACGTTTTTTTCAGGTACCGAGAACGTGGATTCCACTAAAAGAATATCCTTCCAAAGGACACTACGTTTTCTGCAGGAAGTAAATACATGGAATCCACTATAGAAGAATATATTTCCACAGGACACTACGTTTTTTTGCAGGTAGTGAAATCGTGGATTCTACTAGACGAATATCCTCCCACAGGACACTCCGTTGTTTGTAGGTGGTGAAAATGTTGAATCCTCTAAAATAATATCCTCCCAAAGGACACTCCGTTTCTTGCAAGTGTGAAAACGTGGATCCGCTAAAAGAATATCCTACTACAGAACACTCAGATATTTGCAGGTAGTGAAATTCTTCATACGTTCAATGGAGGAAGGAAGATGGATTTGTTGAAAGCATTAGAAATAAATGAATTGTATGAAAACCCTAATTTTGAAACTTCCAATGACCAACTAGAAATTTGACAAATAGTTTAGGATCGATCCATTGGTATTTGGATCAATAGCCGATAATTTTGATATGTTGGAGTAGTTAAGTAATTATTGTTTCGATATCAACTCAGGAATCATTTTTGTTATTTCAGCTACCAAAACGACATTGACTGTATCATTGTATATTTAAGGATTTGTTTGTCAAAATGCGTCAGTTAACTTGAAAATAGTTTAATGAACCGAAACCGGTTTCAACACATAAAAATCTCAGGAGAAATTAAACAGTTGTTCGAAAATTTTCAACCAAATCTGTAAGATATTTTTGATAGATCGGATTATCAGGAAATCTTCCATCAAACACCCCATGGAACATACTGCCCACCACGGCGTGAATAAGAATTTCTTTCATTCTTTTTGCTTAAGAAACATTTTGGAAATAAAATGAAGTAAATTCTCAGTATTAGTAGTGATACCTAACAATATACACTCTGTTACAGGGTAACTCGGTATGGATTCCTATTTACAAAGTCGATAACAAAAAAAGTGCCTCTGCTTGACATGGCCCAGAGGAAAAAATCATGAAGATTCAAATCCGGTGACCGAGAAGGTCACCGGATTTGTCACCGAGAGGATGAGTCTGATACACTCTGTTATTAGGGTAACTCGGTATGGATTCCTATCTACAAAGTCGATTACAAGAAATTCCTAATATTTTAACGATACAGTAGTTGTATATTTTCAAATTATTTTCTTAAAAAAATAGTAGAGATGGTTGAAAATACCAGAAAAGGGTTATCTGTGTGTTTATTAACATCAAATTTCACAACTCATTTTCTTTCGTTTTCAAATTTTGAATATCTTGAGTCCTTTTCTCATCCACAATACATTGAGTATTTGGTGAAGTACTATCTCTCATGTCTTGGTCCTCTAGAAATCTATCCATGAAGTCAGTAACTCCTGGATGGAGAGCATATTTTTTTTTCTCCAACCTAACTTTATTTGCGAACACATCATGTCTTTCAGATTTCTTCCACAGGTAATAGAACTGCACCAGTTCCCCAACAGACCTTGTACGTACCTGAAAAGGATAATGAATATTGATCACACATATCACTGAAAGTACTAATAAGTAATGAAGAGTTAGGTTTGGATTGAAATGATGTGCCCAGGTCTTCGAAAATTATGCATAGCTATGTCTTGAATAAAATAATGGTTATTTTATCTCTTCCGACCAAAAAGATCCTAACATTGAGAGTATTCATTGAAACAATAACTATTTTGAATGTTTCTGCTGCTATATAAAGTTAAAATTTAAATTAGTTTTTTCAGATGTTGGGAGAAAAACATTTTCAGAAAGGTCAATAAAAATAAATATTACAAGTTTTTAACTTGTCAGTCAGGTTTCAAATGGCCAAACTTGAGAATGACACATCAAACTTGAGAGAGAGTTAGTTCAGGTATACCACAAGGGTCAATTATGGGCCCAATTTTTTAATAACCACCGGTGATGATGTTCTGCAAAGCACAGTTGCTATCAATGTAGGACTCCATCACTTAGTAGTATCCAAAAAGCAGGACCTACAGAGTGACACTGCTGTGTATTCAGCCATTGCATCAGACTAGAGAGGACTAAATGAAAAGTTGGTGATTCGGATATAAATTTCAATGTAAACCTGCCTGTTGTGTACCAGTTCAAAAACGGGGTGTTGTACCAAACAATATTTTTAAATTTAAATTAGTACAGAAAGCTTTAAAAGAATGGAATTGTTATACCCTCGAGCCCTTCAGCTTTACATATTAGCTTCTTCTATGTAACGCTCTAATTGCATCAACTTTGGATGATTGTGATGTAGTACAGTATATTTTGAATGTATATAGAATTTCAAAGAATCCAAAACTCTACCTCGATTCTGTTTTGGAATAATAAAGAGGTCTGAATTTTGAATTCAACGTTTGAACTAAGTAGTCCTCAACGAAAAGGAATAATTTTTCAATAATGAGTATCTGCTGATGCAGCTTATACAGCGTGTTTATTTAACATGCAGTAAAACTTCAAGGGACTTTTCAAGCACTTCGATAACTTTCTCACCAGGACCAGGACCAATCAGACCATATAATTGGTCTCGAGCTTCTGTACTTCTGGAGATGAAGTATTCATCTATGTAGATTTCAGAAAGAAATAAAATAATGAAAATCACTGAATTGCTATGAATAATGTTTATATATATGGCCTCTAGGATTGAATTTTCAAACTTGCCTTATTTTGTTGGGTTAGATAGAAATTTTTCCCGAACGCTCTAACCCCAGCTTCAAAATTCCGGCACTCTTCCTCTGACCAAGGCGACATTGCTTCATTATACAACGCTATATTCATCTTCAGTCTTCTAAGAGCCTCTTCGATATTATGACCACACTGCTGGAGTAGATAAAGAGCCTGCTCATTGTCCCGCAGATGACATCCCAGAGGAAGTACAGGCCTGTCGATTGCTAGAGCTTTCTTCAAATAGTCCTCTACAGCCTCATCATCAATTTGTGGATCCCAAATGAGCTTGTCTTCATTTTCGTAGGGTAAAGCATCGTCATAGTGGCAGATGCCTTCAGGAACCTGAGCCTGATAGTCGCTACCAACCATAATAGTTTTTATCACCACTCTGTTTTCTTCATCATCTGGATTGTAATTGTAATGTTCGTCGTCTTCTTCGTTTACTTTGGAACGTAGCAACCGCGAGGCGTCCTGATACTTTTCTGACGCGTTTTCGTAACAGGGTTTTAAAGTGGAGTGTTTGGTTGTTTTTCGTCTGGGGCTCTGGTTCTCTTGGTCCTCTCCGAAAAAGAATGTGTTCTTCATCTTCATCCTAGTCATGGTGAAGTTGTCGCTAGAGGAAGATGAGTCGTCGTGTTCAAGCCTCATGTCGAAGTCGTTGGTTAAAGTGTCGACAGATGACTCCGATGATTTTTCTTCATCATCGGATAAAGACTTTTCAGTGACTGGTATCGATTTTTCCATTATCTGTTCATCGAATGGGTCACATGGTACCACTTCAAGATTTTCTAAAAAAAATTGATATATTGCACCCTGACATTTCAAGACATTTCAAATTGTTATAAAAACTATTTACTTAACAGTAACACAATATTTTGATCAGGCATGGATACCTAGCCCCACTGAAATTTTGGGATGAATCAAACACAAGTTGTCTATCAATTGATTCAACCAAATTACAGGAGACTTTCTCTGTGTCGAAAATCAGTCTTGTTTCTAAAAAAGCCTTTACGTCAGAAAATAAGAAAATACAGTTAGAAAATGCAAAGATAATGCAAAGAAGTAACTTTCAGGCACAAACTGGAAGAAAAATACTTTTCGAAATCACTACTTTCATTGAATTACACGGAAGAAAAAGTACTTTCCACACAACTATTTCATTTTGAATATTGAATTATACAAAAACACTTTTATCTATGCAGTTTGTACTCCAAACATTCGCTATGAAATTGAATCAGATATCATTCATAGGATTACTACACAATAAAGTATATGAAAGAGGTAGTTGTTTCGATTAACTGTTTTCTTCCAGTTTGTGTCTGAAAGTTACTTCTTAGCATCATCTTCATATCTTTGTAAAGAGTTCATTTATAAATTAACTAACATTTTTGTATAAAGATGGAGAAATGTAAAGCCAAAACTTTCTTCCATTTTTTTTTCCTAAAAATCTTTCAACTTAGAAAATAGAACATCTCAAAATATTTATTTTTTTATACGTATATACCTCTCCCTGACACAGTCACCAGACTTTTGATTTCTGTAAGACAATACAAATCCAAAAAATTTTAATCTTACTAGATTTATCGAAATGAAAATCTGCAGTTAAAAAAGTTATTTTAAATGAAGTCCGGCATGTTTTCAGGTAATTGAAATTTATTATTTTGTTGCGTATTGAAAAAAATTCAGACTCATGTAATGCAGCATGTGAATTTGAGTTTGGATATTACAATCTTCCATAATTTGAAAAAAAATTATTAGAAAATCTATCTTTATTAATCTGCAGTTTCTACATTTGTATTGATTTTTAAGTAACTTCTATATTTTTATCATGATTTCCCAAATATGAAACTATATATGGATACCAGTTTTTGAAGGTGAATAATCTTTTTTTTTTTTTAATTTTCTGAAATTATGAAAAGGTTACTTAATCTTCCTTCGTTCTTGTGATATATAAGGAAGTTGAACAGAATAATTTAAACATTATAAGATGTTTTCGAAGAATGTTGAACATATAGGACATGGATGAAATCAGAGCAAAAAAAAAGCATTCGTGATCCCCTACAGTCAGTGCTGTTTCGACTTGCCATAGGAAATGATGGTAATGATGAGGTGTAGATGCCTCTAAATTCATCTTATTTTATTCAATTTCAATTCATTCCTGAAATACAGGGTGTTGATTAAGTATGTACCATAAATTTAACAGACGATTCTTTAGGTCATTTTGAGACGAAATGTTCGTATAAACATGGTTCGGCAAATCCTTCGTTCTCAAGATACAGGGTGTTAAAATAAAAATAAAAAAAAGTTATTCGTAAATATCTTAAATATCCTAATTTTGTTGTAATTTGGCAATGGTATTTATAACATTAAGAAGCTAAGTTAGCCCGAACGTGATTCAATTAATTAAGTCCAGTGGCGTCTCGAGCGGGATTTGAACGAATATTTTTGACTTAAAAATGTACGCCACTGACTTTTGTGCAATTTTTATTATTTCTTTGGATCGAGCAATCTGAAAAACGACTTTTTTGTCTTATGAATATTTTTCGTATCTTGCTTAGTTTTTAAGAAAAAAAAGTCGACTTAATTGCATATCCCTGGACCTCACAAGGAATAATATGGGGAATTAAATGTTTCTTTTTGAAATTATTATTTTTACAATTTTTCATTACTAATTATGTAACAATAACAACAAATATTAAATAACATTAACATCTAGCTAGACTAACGAATTGCACTAAATTAAGTGTTGGAAATGACCTCCTTCGGCTTCAATACAACCGTCTAGCCGCCGAATAATTGAATTTTGCACTCTTCTGAAAATACCATGAATAATCAAGGATAAGGATTGCCTTGGAAAACGATTGCAGCATTTAATAAACAACTTGATAGTTGTCGTCAATTTATAATTGTTATAAAAAGTGTGTTTAGTGGTTATTTTTTGAACAATTTTTTTTTAATTTTAACACCCTGTATCTTGATAACGAAGAATTTGCGGACCCATATTTATATGAACATTTCGTCTTAAAATTACCTAAAGAATCGTCTGGTGAATTTATGGTACATAGTTAATTAACACCCTGTATATATTCGGAATTGAGCATTTAAAATGTTACTCACTATAATTTTATATTCAAATGCTGTTTTTTTTCATTACTTGGGAAAGGGATCAAACATGTTTTCGTAGGTGAACAATTTAATTTTTTGCTCATCGGGGCTCTGTAATACAATAATTTCACAAGTAAACAGTATACATGCCAATACATATTACAAATTAAAATAGTTTCTACTGATATCATATTTTGTAAAAAAAAAACAGAAACAGGTGGACTTAACAAACATTAGTTTCCACCATCCTATGAGCTCTGATATCTTTCTATCGTTTATAATTTTGAAAAATGATGAACAAAACCGTTAGTTACTGGACGGCAATCCAGTGAATTGCTCGTTTTACTATACAGGGTTCATAGCAAAGTTAATATTGAAAAATGTGTAGTTTCAACTCACTTCTATATTGTGGTAGACATCATTGATTCTTATAATCCGGCCATATCTTGAACATCATTCACATATTTCATGTTGCACTAAAAATAATTACATACATTCATAAACAACATTCATAAAAAATTAACGTAATCACTCCTTGAATGTTTTTTCTTCTTCACTACAACACCTAAAGAAATTGAACCCGACGATTTCTACATCTTTCACGTTTCTAATATGAATAATTGTGACTAATTCTAATGTATAAAAGATGTTTCGATGCATAATAGTTTTCATCGATTGGCATACCAGTACATTCATTAATTTTGCAAACATTGGAGGGGAGAATCAATAAAAGGTGGACAGTTGAAGGGGATGAATGAAATTCCTTCCTTGAGGATTTCAAAGGGCTAATCTACTCGATACCAGATGTCGCAAGGGTTGATTCTGAGAAATTTAAGTGTCATAAAAGCTTTCCTTTTGGATTCGAAAGAGAAAAATAAAGTTAAATGAATAGTTGTCACGAAAGTTAATATTTAGGAATGTATAAATAATTCAGTGAAGCATTTAATATGCATCTAACATTTTCATTTTAATATGAAATGAGACTATTGATATATTGGAGATATATCACAAACATATTATCTGTTCTTGTTTTTCATAATGTAAATATCAGTTTTTCGAATTGATTTTTCTATTCGACTTAGAATAAAATTGGGTTTCTTCTTCTCCATGCGACTACGTAAAATATAACTTTCGGATGTCAAAGTCCCTTTTTAAAAATTAATTTTATTAACAAAAATTGATGTTAACAGTATGAGAGCATAATTATAACTGAATTACAAAAGTATTCTTCCCATGAAGATAAGAATGCTTGCACATCAGTTTCCCAGAATCGCGAGATTCTGCTTCAGCATGGTCAGCGGTTCACATGGGAACGGGCGATATAATTCGTATCACGTTTCTGTGCGTATTTGTATACGTATATAATAATATGTAGGGGAGACTGGAGCAATATTTGGTGCAGGACGGGAAGTAAGCTTATAAATGCGTTAAAACTCGCTTTTGCATTGATGAGAGAAAAAAATTGATTTTGCAAGTGTTTCATGTGGTTTTTGGTTCCAAAACTGCAGACTTGTGAGTACCTGAGTTAATGTTATGTCTCAATACTCAGTTCATTGTAGTAGTATACAATTTTGAATTCACACTAAATTTTTTCACCGGGAACGTTTGAAGTTAGAATTGTTTCAACTTATTTGAATACATGTGGATCAGGGCATAATGGGACACTACTCGTTTTGCCCCTGGTTAGCAGAACAAGAAGATGAGGTGGTGCTCATGTAAAATCTATGTAAGCACGGCTTTTTCAACAGGAAAAGATCTGTCTGTAATTGCTCATGAGTTGGCTCAACGAAAACACACAGATAATTAATCTTCTTGATAGAAACACCCATATGACAGGAGAAGACGAGTGACAAGAAGAACTTTGAGAAGAAGCGTCAAACCAAAAAGCGTAAAAGGAATTATATCGAGAGATGGTTCATTCCAAGAAAAGGATGATGATGACTGTGCTTGAATCTATTGTGGTTACTCATACTAGAGTTAATCGAAGGTTGGATCATCTGAATCATGTGCCATGGCTGGGCACATAATTTATGTGCTGTCTGTCCGATTGAAATATGTACTTTTCTGCGTTTCCCATCTTACCCCGGCTATGGGGTAAAAGGAGAAATTTACCGAGTGTGCCAAAGAAGTTCTGTGATTTTGCATGTTACAACGTTTCATCATTGGAGGCAAATGTATAAGTGTTATCACTTCTGTTTTATCTTAGCTTAGTTTCATCTTAGCTATCACATCTTGCCCCGGTCTTCCCTACTCGGAAAACGTATTCTCTCATATTTGAACAGTTTTTGAATCGATGCAATTCCAACTTATAAATATATAACAAAAATTCATGTATCAGGTCGTTTCAATTTTTTTTTGTTTTGATGTTATGTATTTCTGTAGCTCCATATCTCAATAAATATTCATGCTACTGTGTCATAGTATATACTGACCGATAGAGAATTTTGTACTCTGCACATTGAACCTCTTTATTTTTTGCAAATTTTAATGTTTTTCCTTTTTTCAGGTAATTACACTAACTCAGCTACTACGCTCTTATTTGGATCAGAGAACCAAAGTTGTTTTTCATAATGAATTTGCGTCTGTACCATACTTATCACCATCCGGTGTGCCACAAAGCTCCAATCTGGTACCCCCGCTTTTCCTCATCTTCATAAATGAACTCACCTCCGAGCTTTCATGTGGCAACTTACTTTTTGCAGACGATTTGAAGATCTTTTCATCTATCACAAGTTTAGAGAGCTGCTCTTTACTCCAGTCTCAGTTAGACCTGATAGATACAGCTTGTCAAATACAGGAAGAGGTTAGATAATTATCTCTCGCTTTGTCGCACTTATCCTCTTCAGAGAGAGAATTCTCAAACCTCTTCCTATATTTGACAAACTGTAACTGGTGTCAAATCAATAAATTGGCAATGAATGTAAAATAGTGCAAAGTTTGAGTTTGCTTTCACACGTGATGCCAATATTATTGAGTATTTTAATATTTTCGAAAATGAAATACTCCTTCGCGAAAGGGGTGACATTCGACAGCGGGTTGACATTTGTTGGCTGCACCAATAATTTCGCGGCATTGGCTAGAAAAATGTTTGGCTTTGTTCTGCCAATATTACTGCCTTAACCATACTTTATATATCTTTCGTTCGCTCCAAGTCAGACTATGCTACTTTGATTTGGTATTCTCTCTATAATGTACAGGGCCAGGCTGAAAAAGCATTCGTCTACTTCATCGGATCCCTAGCACCCCATTTTTATGATGATAATAATAATAATAATCGTTTTCATTCATCGACATAATATAAAAAATGACATACAAAAATTTAGAACAATAATTAAGGGTCAATGAAAAGGTGAAGTATCAGCGCAGGCTGCTTTTCAACTTAACCTAGCGAGAAAAAAAAAAGAAAAATATAGGTGAGTCATAGAAGACTATAAAAATATAAGTAAATCATAGAAAAATATAAAAGTAAAATTTGAGTATTAGCGTATATAAAGTCAAAAATACTTATTTCCAGAACAATTTATACTCGTGTGAGTATAAAATATAAAAGTACAAATCAAATAAAAATTATTTTTTTATTCCACGAGGATTATAATCAATTGAAACAAGTTTCAATTTTACCATGATATCCACAACATAAACCATAAGAAAATACCTGTGATATTTAGTTTTGAGATATCGGAACCATTTTCTAGTATCACACATGTTCAAAATAAACTAGATGTGGGAAAACAGTTTCGCCAGCCACCCTCTTCATGGAATATGCATCAACCGTTCGCAGACCAGAATAAAGATATCGGCTTCGAAATCGTGCGGTAGCTAGAAAAATAAGACAGATGTCAAATATGGAAAGAGCTGTTGAACTGATTGTGCTCATTGAGCATTCGACAGCCAATGACGGATCGATCGCCTTTCAAAATAATTTCAAACAAGTTCACGTCGACAGCAAACTCCCTTTTCGGGATCAACGTGTTCGAGGCCAGAAAGATTGAATGGTTTTGGATCCCCGAACGGATGTCGGCAACTTTTTACTCTAAAACTGATTTTCTGATATTTTCTCACCAGGCAATTCGAAAGCGACAAAAGTAGAACGTATGTGCAAACTAGTCTAAACGCAGTTTTTCCAGTTACTTATTTCGACTTTCAGACCTATATTTCTATTGGAAAATTCTCATTCAAACAAATATCTGAGGATACACAAATCGTTTTTATTGCACTGTACAGTGCGGACGTTCGAAGTGTCCCATTTTTAACTTCTGAACGAAACAAGTTATAAATATTGGTAAAAGTTTTCATAGAAAATTATCATTTTAGGTACTTTTAATTTATTTATTCATTTATTCAACGGCAAAGCCAAATTACAAAAACATATTCAACAAAGTGTGAATATGTTTTTTGAATGCTCATGTCTGATGTCTACATTGCAATTAACAATTTTACAAAACACTTAGCAAAGTGTGAAATACAAACTATTAATAAATCCTCATGTCTAGTGACTATATTATTAGAAGATGAAACAATTCTGGTACTTACAAGAAGAAAAATGTAACAAATCTGGTACTTACAGAGAAAATCGTAAGGTAAAGAAAAGCTTCGCAAACGCTATAGCATTTTTTTAAAGACTTGAAGTGATACATTAAACAGATCTAAGTTATTATGATATTAATTTTCCAGTTTCAAAATACGAGGCATCGGACAGTTCAAAGCATAATTGATATGGAAAAAATGTATATGAAACATGTTAGGATTTCTCGTATCTTTTTGTTCAATATGAAAAGTTATTAGTTGAAGTAGTTCTGGGCAGTTTATCTCACTATTTATTAATTTGAAGAGGAAACTCAAGTTTATAGAAATCTTCCAATGATTTTATATTTAACTTGGGTAAGAATTGACTGTTCTTATATTCATGTCGTTGAATGCCAAAGTGAAAACCGTAATTCTTTATGAATTTCTTTGAACATTCCCAATCAAATCAATATTTACATTATAGTATGGGTCCCATATAACCGAACAATAATCAAGAATGGATATTACGAAAGCACAATATAAAATCTTAATTTTTTTATTTGAAAAATCAGTAGAAATTCTCAATACAAAACTCAGCACTTTGAGACTTTTGTCACTTGATACTTGAAAATTAAAATTAATTTCGCTATCAAATTTAACTCTCAAATCGCGAATAAATGTTTCTCTTTTAAGAGCTATATGTATATTCAAAGAATATTGGACTTCTAATTTAACGTAATGATTTGACACTAATCAATGTTTACCTCCAAAAAATTATTTCTACACAACATGGAGACCTTTTTGAACTAATTCAGCATCTTTCCGGCAAGTATTTGCTCGATAAAGTTTGTGGTCATCACACACATAAGAAATTCTGAATATTTGAAAACAAACTCTATGTCCGATACAAACAAGTTGAACAGCAGTGGGCCCATATGGGATCCCTTCGGTGCCTCTGATGGAACCTGAATGGACGTAGATATTGTATCTCCGTATTTAACTGAAGAGTTCTATCAGTTAAGAAGCTATTGATTACTTGCAAAACATTCCCGCCTATACCAAGCGCTTGAATTGCGCAAAGAGTGTATAATCTGATTTAATGCAAATTAAAAAGGGTGTTCCTCAAGGTTCAATATTGGGCCCTCTCTTGTTCGT